TAAAATTGTTGAAATTTTAATCCACAGTAAAGTTGTTTAATATTGCCGAGTACTTGCTGTATATTGCTTTAAGCGTCATGATGTCACGATGTTTCTTTTATTTCCTATGGGATTCATATTCTGTAACTGTAGGTCATAACGGAATGGCACAATCATAAAAAAAAAACATGGTAACAAGTAAACAAATGAAATGCCCCCTGTTCAAACGTCTGCATCCCCTTAGTTCTTAATACTGTGTCTTGCACCCTTTAACATCAATGACAGCGTACCGTCTTTTGTAATAGTTGCCTATGAGGTCCCCGAATTCTTGCAGGTGGTATAGCTGCCCATTCTTCTTGGCAAAATGCCTCCAGGTCATGCAAAGTTTATGGTCGTCTTGCATGAAAAGCAGATTTGTGATCTCCCCCAGAATGTCTCAATGATATTACGTTCTGGAGACTGTGATGGCCACTCCAAAACCTTCACCTTTTTTCATACTGTAACCACTGGAGGATCACCTTGGCCTTGTGCTTAGGGTCATTGTCATAATAAAATACTAAAATGAAGCTAAAACAAGCTAAGGGGAAAATGGAGGGAAGAGTTATTGAACATTGATACTGTGGTTACATTAATTTTCTTTTACAAAGTTTTTTTTTTTCTGTCACCTGTTGATCCTTCCAGTATAACACTTCCTTTCCTAGGGTGATAATCCTCATTCATGGTACTGTGTCTATGGTATCTATTTTCTTATACGTTTTTGTTCTTTTATAATTATTTATATTTTATTCTCTTTCTTCTTATTATTATTTTTATGTATCCTTTCTTTTTATATGTCAATATATTTTTATCACTACCCACTATAAATTGTTATCACTACCAGGCATTCACGAGCTGCTCCTAAACAAAAACTAAGTTTAAAATTATTTACATTATTTTTCAGGACAAAAACAATATAACTTTTTTTAAGGTTGATCCGTTGATGATTTTACAACTTGTTATACTCTAGATAGAAAACCCTGATTTTACAGTATGATTTGTCCCATTTACCATGACGCCGAACTTAGGTTATACAAAGCATGGCACAATTATTTACAAATAAAAAATGCATATGTTTTGAGTTTTTTTTTTTTTTTAATCAGGAACGAGCAAAACATAAAAGACATTTTCATACAAAAAAATGTTGAAAAAAAACAAGCTAAGGGGAAAAAATGAAGGGAAGAGTTATTGTACTTTGCACTTCTTCTTCTTCCTCTTCCTCTTCCTCTTCCTCTTCCTCTTCTTCCTCTTCCTCTTCTTCCTCTTCCTCCTCTTCTTCCTCTCTTCCTCTTCCTCTTCCGTCCTTTATTATTCTTCTTCTTCTTCCGTCCTTTATTATTCTTCTTCCGTCCTTTATTATTCTTCTTCCGTCCTTTATTATTCTTCTTCTTCTTCCGTCCTTTTATTCTTCTTCTTCTTCCGTCCTTTATTCTTCTTCTTCTTCTTCTTCCGTCCTTTCTTCTTCTTCCTTCTTCCGTCCTTTCTTCTTCTTCCTTCTTTCTAACTCCTCTTCCTTCTTCTTCCTTCCATTCTTCTTCCTTCCATTCTTCTTCCTTCCATTCTTCTTCCTTCCATTCTTCTTCCTTCCATTCTTCTTCCTTCCTCTTCTTCCTTCCTCTTCTTCCTTCCTCTTCTTCTTTCTTCTTCTGTCCTTTCCTCTTCTTCCGTCCTTTCCTCTTCTTCCTTCCATTCCTCTTCTTCCGTCCTTCTTCTTCCTTCCTCTTCCTCCTTCTTCCGTCCTTTCTTCTTCTTCCAATATATTTTTAAAGTTTATCAGAAAAGATTTTCTCACTTTAGCAGTTTTGATCTTTATAGATTAATAAGTCACTAAACTGTTCTACTTGCTGTCTGCCTAGCTGGGGTTTTTTAAATATAAAATGCGCACAACGTATACTGCAATTTACTCAATACAAATATAAACTCCTTCAAATGTATTAAGACAGATATTTAAATAAAATAACGGATTAATGTCACGGGGGCTCACCTGAGAAGGAAACTGTTCCCGGAAGAAGAGTTGGAACAATAAAATTAATAAAACAAATCACCAAGAGAATTGCAGTGTCATCATGCATAATATAAATGTTACAATGATCTATAGTAAAATGATAAATATAAAAGGTAAAAATATGAATGTGCATTTTGAGCCTCCTCTGGAGTGGAGTGAGGTTACGCATCAAGGATGTTTTGAAGGAATATAAATCAGTCTTTTTTTCTCCACGGTAGAACACTAGACATGTTCCTGAAGCTAATAATCTCATGCCAGGTAAGACGATAACAAAGCAGGAAGATGCCATTAATAAAGGGACTTTGGATGGTTTGTAGACATCACTTTGATTGTTACCTTTTAGTTTAGTTTTAGCCGTCCTTCCCATGCACCATTTCACTACATCAGGTTTGGAAGTGCGCAAAAGGACACAAGTTAGAAAATAAATCAGGAGATGACTTTTGGGTCAATGCTCTGGGAACTCTCACTTCAATAGCAAAAAAGAGATGGTAGAGAAACCATTGTTATCGCAACCACGCGTCCACTCGGTGCTTCAAACAAATAAAACAAATTTTAAATAATTTTTTTCAGGACAAAAAAAAAAATGTTGTGCTATTGCCTTTTAAAAATCATTTGATGTTTCTATGCTTTTTCAATTAAAAATTAAGTATAAAATAGAAACTTTTTTTTTAAATATTTTTTTTATAGTTGTACCGGTGATGATTTTACAACTAGTTATACCCTAGATAGGAAGTACTGATTTTATACTATGATTTGTCCCGTGGCACTGAAATTAGGTCGATACACAAAGCATGGCACAATTATTTACGAATGAAGGTTTTAAAAAAAAAATGCATATGTGTTTTGTTTTTTTTAAATCAGGAACGAGCAAAAACATAAAATACATTTTCACACAAAAAGTTGAATAAAACTAGCTGACGGAAAGAAAAAATGGAGGGAGGAGTTATTGTACATTGCAGTTTATCAGTCTTTAGAAGCTGTGGCTGCATTCATTTTCTTTTGCCAATTAATTTATTTTCACCTGGTGATCCTTCCAGTAACACACTTCCTGTCCTAGGGTGACAACTCTCATACATGGTACTGTATCTATGGAGGAGCAGCTATGTCTTCCTTGGACAGGAAGGGTGCCAGAACTACAGAACACATCCCCCTCTTATCATCTACACAACACAGTACATGTATTGGAGAGACATACTGATTTTTTTCTATTTTACCTATAAATACACACATATAATATATATATATATATATATATATTTTTATTTTATTTTTTAATGCTTGTCCAATTAATGCAGTATAACACTTACAGGTGAGGGTGGGCAGCCCAGTGGCTAAGTGATTAATACTTCCACTTGGCAGCACTAGGGTCATCGGTTTAAATCCCAACCACGGCACCGCCTGCATGGATTTTGCATGTTCTCCCTGTGCCCCCTTGCTTAGCTGCATTGATTGAAATAAAAAAAAAATTCTAAATGCAAGAGCAGTGCAAAAAAACCCTCTCCTTATATCACTCGTATTCACTAGACCCCCCCATCACCATGAGAAAAATAAAAGTTAGCCATAGACCAGTTCTGCCTATTATCCCCAATAAAATGGTCCTCCTGCTGGACAGTTTTACACTCATGTACTATCAGCAGCATTGTACTTCTTGTAGTAAAGCCCCAGGCTTTGCTTTTTTGTCACTAGTATATTTGGGCCTAGCCCTGCTCATTAAAATTTTCTACTGCTGGCCCGTTTCACACTGCTGTATCATCTGCAGTCCCTTAAATCAGATTTATATATATTTTTTTGTTCTCTAGTACATTTTGGACAATTCTTCCTTACCAAAATGCCCTCCTGATATCCAATTATACACTGCTGTATCATCTGCAGTCCCTTAAATCAGATGTACGTAGTTGTTTTGTACTCAGACAATTCTGCCTCACCAAAATGCCCTGTACTATCAGCAGCATTGTAATTCTTGTAGTAAAGCCCCAGGCAGTGCTTTTTCATCGCTAGTATATTTGGGCCTAGCCCTTCTCATTAAAATTTTCTATTGCTGGCCCATTTCACACTGCTGTATCATCTGCAGTCTCTTAAATCAGATGTACGTATTTGTTTTGTTCTCTAGTACATTTCAGACAATTCTGCCTCAGCAAAATGCCCTGTACTATCAGCAGCATTGTAATTCTTGTAGTAAAGCCCCAAGCTGTGCTTTTTCATTGCTAGTATATTTGGGCCCATGACTTTTTATGACAGTAGTTTGTCTATTAGCCCTAACAATAGGTAGAGCTTAACAACAAGCTTTGCCCCATCCCATAGACTTCAGTTGGACATGACTTTAAGTGCAGGTTTGTCGAAGTTTGAACAAGTTTTGCTGAACCGTTTGCTATACCTTTGCACCCATCACTAGAAGAGGTCTTCAAATTAGGAAGGTGCTAGGAAAATGTGAGCAATGTTTTCTGTTTTTGTGGCCGATGTCCTGACCATCTGCTGTTTTGTGGTTTTTAGATGATATGGAGAGAAACCAGACATTGGTCACAGAATTTCTCCTTTTGGGCCTTGGAAACCTCCACATATTCCGGATTCCTCTGTTCATCATTTTTCTTACTGCTCACATTATGGCCTTAACCAGCAATACCCTTGTTATTGTCCTAGTTGTGGTCAACCCGAGTCTACAGTCTCCCATGTACTTCTTTCTCGGCCAGTTGTCTATGTGTGAATTCCTGTTCACTAGTAATCTTGTGCCCAATATGCTGTGGTTAATATTAAAAGGTGGTGGAAAAGTATCAATTGTCAGATGTATTATGCAGTTTTTTCTGCTTGCAGTGCCGACTATTACTCAATGCTTGGTGCTGGCTGCTATGTCTTTTGATAGATACGTGGCCATCTGCAAACCAATACATTATACCATCATCATGACATTTGGACATCAGTGTCAGATAGTCCTCTTCTGTTGGTTTGTAGGCCTCTCACTTTCTTTTGTACTTTGTTTTCTTAAAACGGTTAAAATTTTGTAACCTCAATATCATCAACCACTTTTTTTGTGACATTCCTCCACTTGTGCAGATTTCATGCTCTGATACGTACTTCATGAAACTGCTCACTTCTCTCGTTTCTGGTGCAGTTGTTCCTTTTCCATTCATGTTCATTGTCATCACTTACATCTTCATCCTCCAAGCCATCCTGAAAATCCCATCCACCTCTGGAAGAAAGAAAGCCTTCTCTACCTGCAGCTCCCATCTTATTGTTGTTTGTACCTACTATGGTACTTTGTCTACAGTCTACATATTGCCCCCTCGAGAGAACTCTGTAAACAGCAACAAGGGTTTGTCTCTACTTTACATCTTGGTGACTCCTTTGTTTAATCCTTTAGTCTACAGTTTACGGAATCAGGATATAAGGGCTGCTGTTATTAGGTCTCTCAAAATGTTAAACTGGTTGTAAAGGCTCAAGATTTTTTACCTTCATGCATTCTATCTATGAAGGTAAAAAACCCTCTGTGCACAGCATTGCCCCAGTCCCCTCAATACTTACCTGAGCCTCATCGTGATTCAGCGATGTGCACGATAGCCTCGGCTGTCCTGGGTCTCTGCCTCCGCATTGGCTGAGACAGCAAACGGGAGCCATTGTCAATCATAGCCAGTCAGCCAATGAGGAGAGAAAGAGAGAGGGGGTAGGGCCAAGCTGTGTGTGAATGGACACATGGAGCAGCGGCTTGGGAACAGAAAGGAGAAACCAGGAGCGCCGGCAGGAGATCTGAGAAGAGGAGGATCTGAGCTGCTCTGTGCAAAACCACTACACACAGCAGGTAAGTATAGACATGTTTGTTATTTTCCCCCCAAAAAAATGTGAACCTTTAATATTGCTTTAACTTTATAAAAACAGTAGTCTTCTTGGTGTATTGAACTAGCTAGAGATAGGCTTTTTTTTAAACTTAACCCCTTGGCGCTGGCGCCTCCCGGCCTTTAAGTGTTCCAGAAGCAGGGAGGCAGGAAGGGGTTTTTAGAGTCATGTGATCGCCGTGAAAGGTCCCAATCGAAAGAGGAGATCGGGACCTTTCCATGAGTACCGAACATGGCGCACGCTCCCAGCACATATGGGTTTTTTTTAATAGACCGCAAATGTGCGGCCGCTCAGCGTCTAGGCCCAGACGATGGGAGGCAGCACATTTGTGTTCGACCGGCGCCAAGAGGTTAAAGTGTAACTCCATTTTTGTTGAGGAAAAAACATCCCTTATGGGTGATAAATGTACATCATCCACTTGCCGACCATGCATTGTAGTTTTACTGCTACAGTGTGTGCAGACTGCGCAAAATCACACACACACACATATATATATATATATATATATATATATATATATATATACACACACACACTATATTGCCAAAAGTATTGGGGCAGCCCCCCAAATCATGTGATTCAGGTGTTCCAATCACCTCCATGGCCACTGGGTGTATAACATCATCCCCTAGGCATGCAGACTGCTTCTTCAAATATTTGTGAAAGAATGGGGCGCTCTCAGGAGCTCAGTGACTCCAAGCATGGTCCCGTGATAGGTGGCCACCTGTGCAATAAGTCCATCCGTGACATTTCCTGGCTACTAAATATTCCACGCTCAACTGTTAGTGGGATTATAACAAAGTGGAAGCCACTGGGAACAACAGCAACTCAGCCACCAAGTGGTAAGCCACGTCACATGACAGAGCGGGGTCAGCGCATGAGGATAAAAAGAAATTGTTTGTTGAGAAAAAACTATGTTCGACAAACAGATATCCTCATAGACAGATTTAAGGAAAAGGGATATAACCCAGAGGAACTCATCAAAGTGAGAGAGGAGGTAGGTCTTCTAAACAGGCAACATATACTGCAAGGGACAAGAAAAACACCAACTAAGATGGGAGAGAGCTTATATCACAGGGTTTAATAAACAATATAAAGAGGTAGAAAGGTGTTTTAACCACTTGTACATGTACTTGTTTATGTACATGGGCCGGATAGGAGCAGTGCAGGAGCGGGTGGCCATTTATAAACGGCCCCCGCATTCACTGCCTGTACGTGCTCCTTGGGAGCTCTTGGCACCGCGATATGTGCCCACAGTGTCCACCAGACATATCAGAACACCGATCACTGTATGGGACCTCTGTGTGAGCTCCCGATTCATGTGATCACTGAATGGCCAATCAGTGATCACGGCACAGTAGTAAACAAGATGTCACTGCCTGACATCATTGCTTACTACTTGTGAAATCTGTGAATGATCACAGAGGTCACATGGTACAGGGCTATTTACATGCTGAAGCGCACAGAAGTCGCCAACTGCAGAGTCAATAGCTAAAGACCTCCAAACTTGGTGTGGCCTTCAGATGAGCCCAACAACAGTACATAGAGAGCTTCATGGAATGGGTTTCCATGGTCGAGCAGCTGCATCCAAGCCTTCCATCACCAAGTGCAATGCAAAGCGTCTGATGCATTGCTCCTTTAACTCTCTACAGATATGCTCATTTTTCAGAGACATTTATTGCCTAGGACAGGCCTTTTTTATGGATGGTCTTACATGTAAAGCAAAGCAAAAATAAGGTATAAATCAATAAATCATTCAAATAAAATATTAAAACCAGTTTTGCTGCAATATTCATCTTCAATCCAGAGATTTATCCTGTAGTACTTTTTTCTGCCACTAGTTGTCCTTATCTGGTGGACAGCATCATTCTTGTTAAAACAATTTTATTACCAATAAAGCAGAATGGAACAAAGAGACATTGCTAATGTACACTGGACATTGAAGTGGCAATAGGACATAAAAAAAACAATATGAATGAGGGTCATAGTACAATTGTCTATACATTACTAGCGGAAACAGGTAGGTAAAAGTTGACAACAAAAGACATTATTGTTCCAGCCAATCAAAGTGATGTCTCCCAAATGCATTAAAGAAGTAGGGGGAAGTTTGAAGGGGGGTCAGACAGGGGTGGCAGGGGGGGGAGGGGAAGAGGAACCGCAACAATGACTCCATGAGCGTTCAGCAAGTGTACAATAACCCCTACGTGTTGCGTACAAAGGGCCAATGACAATATCTTTAGCGCATAGTACACAAATCAGGGGAGAAGGAGTGATTCGTCAAAATTAGGCGGGAGGAAGCGCTCTACCCAGGGGCTCCATATGCGCAAGAATTTAGGAATCGTGTCGAGAATTGTGGCTTTGACGGCCGCGACACTTAGGGTGGGGGATTTCCAGGATTTCGCTATAACCTGTTTAGCCGCTGTCGTAACTTGCATGATGAGCTTAAATTGCGAATTGGAGATGCCAGGGGGGCATTGATTGAGTAGGGCGGTCGTTGGGTCGGGTTGTAGGGTGATAGTGCTAAGTGTAGATAACATGGCGAAAATTTCATCCCAAAAGATTCGGGCTATTGGGCAGTCCCACCACATATGGTAATGCGTTCCTGGGTCCGTACAGCCTCTAAAACAGTTGGGCGAGTAATTAGGGGTGAATTTTGCGATTCTTGCCGAGACCAAGTACCAGCGGGTTAAGACTTTATAATTCGTTTCCAATGCTATAATGTTCTGTGAGGATGATTTTGTGTTGGCCCAAATGCGGTCCCATTCAGAGGGATCGAATTCCTAACCCAAATCCACTTCCCACTTATGGGTATACATGGGGGGGACGTGGTAATCGAAGTAGTGAAGAGTGAATATAAGCAGGAGATAAGCCCACGTCTATGAGGGTCTTTGTAGCACGCTCGTTCAAAGAGAGACATGGTGTCTGGCCGATTGGTTATTGTGGTGTAGGGGGCGTAAAAGTGTTGTAGCTGCAAGTACCGAAATATCTCGGAGGCTGGGAGGCCATGCGTTTCCCACAGCGAGGCAAAGGATTTAAACTTATTCCTCTGTAGGAAATGATGTGTACGGAATAAATTAGCAGAGGACCAGGCTTTGAATAAAAGGGGTGTCTGCCAGGCCAGGGGAAAAGCTGGGTTTCGCAGGAACGAGAGCATAGGATTATGTGGAGATTGGAGGAGATATCGGGTTTTCAATTTGTCCCATAAGGATAGGAAGTGAGAAGTGATGGGGTTGGATATAGTGCGGCGGTCTATTGGCCTCAACCAGAGCAAGTTAGCTGTACATAGGGGGTCACATTCTATCGATTCAAGCACAACCCATTGAGGGATTTCAAAAGTTGCATGGTATTTAGGTAACTGGGCTAAATGCGCTGCTAGATAATATTTGCTAATATCGGGTAGGCCTAGACCACCACTGAGCTTAGGGCGATATAGGGTGGAGCGTGGTATACGAGGACGAGTTTTGCCCCAAACATAGGAAAAGATGCGACGCTGCAGTGTGCGGAGGTAATGAGGGGGGACTGGGACTGGGAGGACTCTAAACAGATATAGAATTTTTGGGAGGATTGACATCTTGATAACTGCTATTCTGCCTAGCCATGCGAGGGGGAGGGAAGACCATTTGGTCAGAAGGGCAGAAAGGTGGTTTAGCATCAGAAGATAATTAGCTGCATAAAGGTCTGATAGCTTAGGAGTCAGTTTGATTCCCAAGAAAGGGATATGGCACTGTGACCAAGGGAATGGTAAAATCTGCTTCAGATGCGTCAGTTCTATAGGGGGGAGAGAAATGTTGAGTGCTGTTGATTTATTGGGGTTTATTATTAGACCCGAGAGCTCGCCAAACTTCTCGAGAAGCCGGAGTAAGGAAGGAGAGGAGGTCAATGGAGATGTGAGAAAGAGCAAGACGTCATCCGCAAAGAGACATAATTTATGATGTGTACCCCCTATTTCGAGTCCCCTAACATCCGGGTTAGCTCTGATTAAGAGGGCTAGGGGCTCTATAGCCAGGGCAAAGAGCAGGGGGGACAGAGGACAGCCCTGTCTCGTGCCTCTAGAAATCGGGAACTGAGCTGACCTGTGCCCCAGATACCTAATTCTGGCTGAAGGCTCTCGATACAGCGAGAAGATCCAGGTTAAGAAGTGTGGGCCAAAACCCCAACGATGCAAAATATAGTTGAGGTATGGCCATGAGATGGTATCGAATGCTTTCCGGATATCTAGGGAGAGGAAACAGGCAGGAATATTACGAGACCTGGCTAAGTTAGCTAAAAGAGATGCACGCCTGATGTTATCACCCGCTTGTCTAGTTGGGATAAAGCCCACTTGGTCGTTATGAATTAGAGAACCAATATACAGGTTAAGACGTGAAGAGAGGACTTTTGCTAGCAGTTTGATGTCAATGTTAAGGAGAGAGATTGGCCTATAATTGGACCACTGCGTGTCATCAGAATTCGGCTTTGGGATCATTGAAATGTTCGCTTGCAATGTTTCATGGTTGAAGGTTTGGCCAGAGATAGTAAAGCGTTAAAAGCATTAGTAAGGATGGGAGTGAGGAGATGAGCAAATTTCCTATAATAGGTAGCTGAGAAGCCATCCGGTCCTGGGCGTTTCCGTAATTTTAGATTTTTAATAGCGTCTAAGGTTTCGGCAGGGGAGATGGGTCGCTCAAGCGCTGCTAACTGGCACTCTGAGAGTTTCAGGAAGGAAATGGAAGTTAGAAGGATATCAGCTTGTGTGGAGTCAAAAGGTGTGGAAGAAGAGTAAAGCTGTGACAAGTGTTTATGGAAGGTCTGTAGAATATGTTCTGGGTTACTAGTGAGGTTGCCAGAGGAGGTGCGAATCCGGATAGGTTTAGTGAGCTGGTCGAGCCTGCGAAGTGAGAGGGCGAGGAATGTATTGGGTTTATTCACCCTAGTATAATATTTATGTCTAGATCTACGAAGTGAGAGTACTGCTTGATCTGTGAGAAAGAGATCTAGAGCCAATCTAGATCGCTCCAAGGCTTCACGATTGGCAGGCGTAGGAGCCATCTGAAAGGTTTGTGTCAGGAATGGACTGGCCAGCAATGGTGGGACTCACCTGCCTTTTGATCTGCAGTACCAGGGCTGGCCAGCGGATGCTCCCAGCAATCAGAGACTCAACTTTGCAGCCAGCTAACACCTGGAACTGATTATGCTGGGGTATTTAAGGGATGGCCAGACCCACAGACTCTGCCTTGGTGTTGTGTTTGTCCTGGGCCCTGTATCCTGTTTCTGTCCTGCATCCTGTTTCTGAACCGCTGCTGACTTCTCCTGCTTTGATCCCGGCTCGCTCCTGACCATCCCTCTGCCTGACCCTCTGTACCACGCTGCTTGCTACCTGTTCTGATCCCTGGCTTGTGACCCCGACCAATCTCCGCTTGCTCCCCCTGTACCTACCTGCCCTATTGATATTGACCCGGCCTGCCTGACGACGCTTGCTTGTATGTACTGTTATCTGTGGGTGGTTGGTTTGGTTTGGTTTGGTTGCACTGTATTATGTTTTAGTATTGCACTGCGTTTATGTTTGTATTGTTAGTGTTAATAAATTATATTGTTTATAACATATCTGAGGTCTGCGTTTCCCTGCGTCAGCCACACACCTCTGGTCATACCTGGGAGCCCTGACATTACACCAAGGCCAATCCTGACCAGAAGTGGCTGCACAGGGAAGCCATATTGGCTTGTTGCTGGGAAGGATGGATCTGGATGAGGTTGTGTATTTATATCTGCTAGTGTTTGATGACAGGGAGTATGCTTATCAAACTCTGAAGGAGTATCCCAGGGATCAACTACTAGAATGTATACGGCTCGCTCATGTTCTAGTAGATCAGGGCACAGAGTTCTCTGGAGGTGCAGCCTTTGATTGAGGTTTGTGCTGAGTTGGTTTCATCTGGTTCCCCCGAATGCAGGGATGAATTTTTGCCACCATTTAGTGCAGACCAGGTAGAGTCCCTGGTGTGGTTATTAGAGGATGATGTGGGTTACTTTCTGGAGCGTTATTCCACATGTTCACCACAGACACTAAGAGATTGTATAAACGCAGTGCAGTCATTGACCAGACAGGCTTTGTGTAAGCTCAGCTTTGTTCAACCCATACTGCAGACATGGACAGACTTGTTGCACCCAGCCTCAGTCAGCTTACAAAAACCCAGTCCTGCTTCTAACTCTACTCCTGTATTCCCACCAGCTCCTCCAGTTACAGCCCAGTATACTCCACTCGCTGCACCTATCCTGCCTTTAACCCTGTAAAAAAGCCCTCTGTAGCAACTGCTCCCTCTCTTGTTCCATCCTCCAGTTCTTCTCTGTCTCCAGCTGCTCCATTCGTTTGCAGACCTGCGTTTACTTGCAGTGCTCCAGTAGTTAAAACCAGAAAAAAGCGAAAATTCTTTCCAACCAATACCATCCTGCCAGTATCCAAACCGGTGAACCTGCCTTCCGTGACTCAGCCTGAAGCCTCTACTCAGCCGGATGCCTCTCTTCAGCCTGATGCCTCTCTTCAGCCGGATGCCTCTCTTCAGCCGGATGCCTCTCTTCAGCCGGATGCCTCTCTTCAGCCGGATGCCTCTCTTCAGCCTGAAGCCTCTCTTCAGCCTGAAGCCTCTCTTCAGCCTGAAGCCTCTACTCAGCCTGAAGCCTCTACTCAGCCTGAAGCCTCTACTCAGCCTGAAGCCTCTACTCAGCCTGAAGCCTCTACTCAGCCTGAAGCCTGCATTCAGCCTGATGCCTGCATTCAGCCTGATGCCGCTACTCAGCATGATGAACTGATCCAGCCCGACGATCCTATTAGGCCAGTTGACTCGATGCCCGCTGTTGATCCGGATGATCCGGTACCTGATCCAGTGCCCGCTGTCGTGCCAATTGACTCAGAGCCCGCTGTCATACCTGGTGACCCGGTGCCCACTGCCTTGCCAGATGACGCGGTGCCCGCTGGCAAGCCAAATGACCTGATGCCTGGTGACCCAGTGCCCGCTGTCATACCTGGTGACCCGATGCCCGCTGTCGAGCCAGACAATCCGATACCTGATGACCCGGTGCCTACTGTCGTGCCTGTTGACTCGGTGCCCGCTGTTCCGCCAGACGACTCGGTGCCCGCAGTCTTGCCAGACGACTCGGTGCCCGCAGTCTTGCCAGACGACTCGGTGCCCGCAGTCTTGCCAGACGACTCAGTGCCCGCAGTCTTGCCAGACGACTCGATGCCCGCTGTTCCGCCAGTTGACTCGGTGCCCGCAGTCTTGCCAGACGACTCGGTGCCCGCAGTCTTGCCAGACGACTCGGTGCCCGCAGTCTTGCCAGACGACTCGGTGCCCGCAGTCTTGCCAGACGACTCGGTGCCCGCAGTCTTGCCAGACGACTCGGTGCCCGCTGTTCCGCCAGACGACTCGGTGCCCGCAGTCTTGCCAGACGACTCGGTGCCCGCAGTCTTGCCAGACGACTCGGTGCCCGCAGTCTTGCCAGACGACTCGGTGCCCGCAGTCTTGCCAGTTGACTCGATGCCCGCTGTTCCGCCAGTTGACTCGGTGCCCGCAGTCTTGCCAGACGACTCGGTGCCCGCAGTCTTGCCAGACGACTCGGTGCCCGCAGTCTTGCCAGACGACTCGGTGCCCGCAGTCTTGCCAGACGACTCGATGCCCGCTGTTCCGCCAGTTGACTCGGTGCCCGCAGTCTTGCCAGGCGACTCGGTGCCCACTGTCGTGCCTGGTGACTCGGTGCCCGCCGCTTCGTCTGGGGGCCTGAGACCTGTTGCTCCGCCTGAGGGTCCGAGACCTGTCGCTCCATCTGGGGGTCTGGCGCCCCGCCGCTCCGCCTGAGGACCCGAGACCTGTCGCTCCATCTGGGGGTCCGGCGCCCGCCGCTCCGCCTGAGGGCCCGAGACCTGTAGCTCCGCCTGGGGGTCTGGCGCCCGCCGCTCCCGCCTGGGGGCCCGATGCCTGTCGCCCCGCCCGGGGGCCCGAGGCCTGCCCGAGGCCCCGCCCGGGGGCCCGGTGCCTGCTGCCCCGCCCGGGGGCCCGGTGCCTGCCGCCCCGCCCGGGGGCCCGGTGCCTGCTGCTTCGCCTGGTAGCCCGATGAGCCTCTGCCCGATGTGCCTCTGCCCGGAGTCCTGCCCGATGTGCCTCTGCCCGGAGTCCAGCCCGATGAGCCTCTGCCCAGAGTCCAGCCCGATGTGCCTCTGCCCGGAGTCCAGCCCGATGTGCCTCTGCCCGATGTGCCTCTGCCCGATGTGCCTCTGCCCGGTGTGCCTCTGCCCGGTGTGCCTCTGCCCGGAGTCCAGCCCGGTGTTCCTCTGCCCGGAGTCCAGCCCGGTGTGCCTCTGCCCGGAGTCCAGCCCGGTGTGCCTCTGCCCGGAGTCCAGCCCGGTGTGCCTCTGCCTCTGCCCGGAGTCCAGCCCGGTGTGCCTCTGCCCGGAGTCCAGCCCGTGTGCCTCTGCCCGGAGTCCAGCCCGGTGTGCCAGTCTTTGATATCCCGCCAGTTACCAGACCCGGGCGGTGGAACATTTTTCCCAGCTAGGACTGTTTGGAGCGTCCTGAGGCCGCTCCTTGAGGGGGGGGGTACTGTCAGGAATGGACTGGCCAGCAATGGTGGGACTCACCTGCCTTTTGATCTGCAGTACCAGGGCTGGCCAGCGGATGCTCCCAGAAATCAGAGACTCAACTTTGCAGCCAGCTAACACCTGGAACTGATTATGCTGGGGTATTTAAGGGATGGCCAGACCCACAGACTCTGCCTTGGTGTTGTGTTTGTCCTGGGCCCTGTATCCTGTTTCTGTCCTGCATCCTGTTTCTGAACCGCTGCTGACTTCTCCTGCTTTGATCCCGGCTCGCTCCTGACCATCCCTCTGCCTGACCCTCTGTACCACGCTACTTGCTACCTGTTCTGATCCCTGGCTGTGACCCTGACCATCCCTCTGCCTGACCCTCTGTACTACGCTGCTTGCTACCTGCTGAACCTGGCCTGTGACCCCGACCAATCTCCGCTTGCTCCCCCTGTACCTACCTGCCCTATTGATATTGACCCGGCCTGCCTGACGACGCTTGCTTGTATGTACTGTTATCTGTGGGTGGTTGGTTTGGTTTGGTTGCACTGTATTATGTTTTAGTATTGCACTGCGTTTATGTTTGTATTGTTAGTGTTAATAAATTATATTGTTTATAACATATCTGAGGTCTGCGTTTCCCTGCGTCAGCCACACACCTCTGGTCACACCTGGGAGCCCTGACAGTTTGATGGGAACGATCATAGGTTTGCTCCAGTAAGAGATGTTGTTGCCTTTTGGTTTTATTTAAGAAGGATGCTTTGCTAATGCAGAACCCTCGCAATACCGGTTTATGCGCTTCCCATAACAGGAGAGGGGATATATCAGGCGATTGATTGAGAGAGAAATAGTCTTTAAGGCTGCTTCTATTTCTAGACAGTGAGCTGGGTTTGCAAGCAGGTTATCGTTAAAGATCCAAGAAGATTCAGTGGGGGATGCGGCCAACAAGGCCATAGCCATCAATACGGCGCAATGGTCAGACCAAGGGATTGGAATTATTTCAGAGGTCAGAAGCCGAGGGGAAGAGGCGGTGGTAATGAAAATATGGTCTATCCTGGAGAATGACTGGTGGGGATGAGAATAGAAGGTGTATTGGCGTTTAGTCGGATTGAGTTCCCGCCATGTGTCAATCAAAGAATAACGTTGCAGTATGGCTTGGAAGGTTTGTTTAGAGGCAGGGACTGGGGATGGTTGAGGAGATTTGTCGAGAAAGGGATATATTACACTGTTAGAGTCTCCGCTAACAATTAAAGTTCCGCGCTTATGATGGTCTATAACCGATAGTATGTGGGAGAGGAATGGTAAGGGGTCTTGGTTTGGGGCATAGTATGCAACAATGGTAACATCCACATCTAGGAGTTGCCCTACTAACAGGAGGTAACGACCCTCCGGGTCTTTGCATTCGGTGCATAGCGTCAAAGGTGTTGTGCGGTGGAAGGCAATAAGTACCCCCCTACGTTTGGCGGTGGCAGAGGCTGTATAGACCTGAGGATATCGAGGACCAAAAAACTTAGGAGTGGAGTTGGGAGTGAAGTGTGTTTCCTGTAGACAGACCACATGAGCTTTAAGTGTAGCAAAGGTTCGGAAAGCCTTATTCCGTTTCTGTGGAATATTGAGACCCTGTACATTCAGGTTGAGGATATTTAACGAGCCCATGGATAAAGTGCATAGTGGTTTGAATAGCAGGGCACTCTCGCTCAAGATGTAGCCTGACGATTACTGCAGGGGATGAGAGCATTACGGAGTGTGTTGCGCAAAGTCATGGAGTCATGATGGAAGGAAGGAGGAGGGGTACGGTATGAGACAGGTAACAGGAAAGAAGGGGTGTAAAAGGGCATTAGTGGCCTAAGAGGTGGGTTCCCAAGGACACCCTGAATCAGGGTGGGCCAGGGAGCAATAGTAGCCCAAGTGTTAATAAATAACCAATAACACAGGGGCTAGGGTGGAGTGTGCAGGTACGCAGACCGCGAGGATGACAGCAATGTGATTAACAAACGGTGGCAAGGTCCCTGTAAAAAACAAAAAACAAAAACACAGGTACATAAAAAGAACATTCAAGAGAATCAAGGAGACAACATTGGCGCAAGGGTGTGGCATCCCATGTCGCCGAAGTCCAGGATCCCAAATATAAACTACAATGTAGCACCGGAGGGGGGTGTAGAACAATCCCCAGGTAGTGGGGCAACCAAAATTCGGCAGGTAGAGGGAGAAAGGATAACAACGGTATTAACCGCCCTGATAACCAAACGAGTACACCGTATGGTGTGTGTGTGGCAAAAAAAAAAAAAAGGGGGGGGAAAGGAAGAATAAATGTAGGACAGTGTTCAGTCCATGGTATCTTGTGAAGATAGTCCTTGAGACGAAAAACACCCCTCTTGTGGAAATTGAATTGACCTTCAGTTGCACGTGCGGGGAGGGACTTCCGCGGAGAGCAGGATGTGGACCTCCGCTTGGCGCTTTCTGAAGGCGTCGCTGGGGGATGTAGTTGAAGGGTTGTAGGGTGTCTAAAAGATCCTCTGGAGTTTTGCAGGTGAAATCTCTGGACTGGTATCAGAATCGCACTGCAAAAGGGAAGCTCCACCTATATTGTATAGCGTGTTGCTGAAGTACTTGTAGGTGGGGTTTCATAGCCCTGCGCTTGGAGATAGTTGTGGGGCATAGATCTTGGAATAATTGGTAGGTATGACCTTGGAACTGTAGAGATTCCGCGTTACGGGCAGCTTGTAGAAGTTGCTCCTTGGTACGGAAAAAGTGGAGCTTGGCTATAATATCGCGTGGTGGACCATCCGCGCGTCGTGGCGCTAACGCCCTGTGAACTCTATCCAATTCCAATCTGTCGATTGGGATAGCTGGGGCAAGCTCTTGAAACAGAGCTGTTATCGTTGATTGGACATCGACGATCATTTTCTGGAAGGCCATGGATACGTAGGTTTGAGCGCCGTGCTCGGTTTTCAAAGTCCTCCAGTTGTGTTAATAATGTTGCGTTTTCGTCATGCAGAAGCTCCAGGTCATCCGTGTGTGTCTGAAGTGAGGCGTCAAGACCATCCACCCTCTGTTCTAGGCCCGCAGTGCGTTGTCCTAGTTCACGGATTTCCCTAGATAGCGTGGCAGTGATGTGGTCTGAGGTTTGCTTCAGAGCTTTGTGTAACATTTTTTCAAAGCGTGATAATAGGTCAGGGGGTGTAAGGTCAGGTGTCAGGGCTTGTGCAGGGACATCGGTTTCAGTGTCAGACTCACCCTCAGACGTGCAGGGATGGCTGGGCTGTGGATCCTGCAGGGCTGCATATGCCCCTGCTGCTTGCTTGTTTCCACGTGCTGGGGCGGTGGCCATTTTGGTGGAGGCCTTTGCCAGGGCCTCTTTGATGGTTTTGGTTGATGGGGGGACCTGGTGCCGGGGTGCCCCTTTAACCATTTTGCCGCTTGTCAGGGAGGGGGGGCTGTTATAATGAACTCAGCCCCCCCTGCTCTCTCCCTCTTCAGCCTCGGCGGGCTGTGTGCAGTGGTGAGCTATGTGCAGCAGTGGGCGGGCCTGTGCACAGCTCACAGCGGGGACCGAGTCCCCAGTCAGAGTTCCCTGACCTGGAGCGGAGGATCCACCGCAGACCCGGGCGGATCAGAATCCGGGATGGTTGCCCAGGGGATCGGATCCCCTCAGAGTGTATTGTGGGCCGGGACCCGCTGCTTCTGGGTGCCGTCACCCGACGGGAAAGAGGAGCCTCATCGGGACATGTCCGTCCCGCCGGCCACGCATG